GACAGGCCAGACACTTCTGCTTCATCTGTATTGAATCCACATGCTTAACACCTTTTGACAAAATGAATACAGCCTCCCTGTGGCTTGGAATTGATATAAACTGTCAAAAAGGGTTTTCTGAATGGTCTTTCTCTGTCACCTTTACCAGATTTTTATCCTGTGTTGTAGAAATGTGCAGTTTAATGTTGCGTTTCAAATCATTTTTGGCTGAAAATGTGTGTAATGGAATCAGGGTGTCCCCTGAATACTCCTAACAGTTGGAGATGTCCCTTTGTTTTGAACACTGGAATCCCAATAGACCTGTGACAGCAGTGGAATTACACTTTTGACCTTGTTCACTAAAGTGTTGCTTTCTCTGGATGATTAAATGAGAGTAACCAACAAGATCTTCCCCTAAAATGTGAGTTTGCTCTATTTGTTTCTCAAAAGAAACAGAAGGGATGCTCTGCAATTTTCAGCTGATTGCATTTTCCACAAAAGAGCAAACAAACAAACAAAAAACCCCTAAGCCCTGCTCTGATTCAAGGAGGTGGTAGTTGTTAGGCATATTAAAAATGCAAAAGCAGCTGATATATCAGTATTTTCCTTAAGCCACAGTTGTTGCTACATCCTGAGCATCACAGCAGCAATACAGCACAGAGGCAGATTTTTATCCTGCTGTTGCTTCACTCTCCATGTATTTTAAAAGCGAATGTATATTAAGGCACCAAATGCAATTTCTAAGTATTGAATCTGAATATAGAAAATAACCATATACTTAATGTTGTGGGCGAATTTAGCTGATCTTTATGGACTACACAGTCATGTCAATCCAAAAGATAAATACAGTTTTCTGCAGATGCAGCCTTTTAAGCTCCTGGTGTTTCTTTTCATTTGCATGTGACTGAGCAGACATAGCCAGCTGTAGGATTTGCCATGACTGCCGGTCCTGCCTTGTGCATTGAGCTACTCGCATATCTCTTGCTCCCCATTTACTTATTCAGGGTGTGGCTTCTCTGGATCAGAAGAACTCAAGAGGCCAGAAGAGATACAAAACCATTTTAGGCTACTTCAGCTGTGTTTTGGGGATTTTTTTTCTCCAATATATTCGTGATTACTATAAATATCCCAGCTCTGGAATAGTGAACATACTTTCATTGTCATGCAGAGCACATGAAATGCAATGGCAAGTACAATCCTGTAGTTCCTGTGAGTGGGGAGTTCAAAAGAGAGGAAAGGACTCAGGGAAATCTAGTTTGTTTTTAGAATAGATCAGAATAAGTGACTTACTGGCCTCTGTGGCCTCAAGACTTCTGAGCAGTTTCTCACTGTAGATGATGCTATGTGGAGAGGACATCAGAGCATGGAGGGCAATGCACTGAGGAGCTGCAGATCTGTGACTCCCGCTTTCTAATCCTGCCAAAAAAAGCTTTTGTTTTTTTAATTACTGCTTCATTGGTGATATAAATTAATGATTGGTATGGGTCTGAAGCAACCTTGTCATCAGAGAATATTTGGTTAGTGTTGACATACTTGTTCTCTGCAAACATGAGTCATCTATCTGCCTTTGGCAGGCTCACCCTGTGGCTCTGCTATAATGTGTTTCACCAGTATGGTGGAAATTAAAATGTCACTGTTAACCATGACAGAATCAGATGCTCTCTGAGCACCACATCTATTCAAGTAGTTCTTGTTTCCTATGTAGTTATTTCTGACAGTTTAATAGGACAGCTGTATTCTGGCATAAAACAATATGTTCATATATCCTCAATACAGGGGGAGTTAAATGCTAATAGAAGACTATTTCCTTGCATACACATGTGTTTCATGCATGGCAGAAGCAGTAATGCTCATGTAACACCATGTTGCTGTTTAGTCCATTAGGAAGTGTAAAGTCAAAATTAATTGTCCTGCAGGACCGTATAGAGTGGGTCTCTAAAAGCAGTTGCTGGAGCTGTTTGCAGCTGCTGCATCAGCCAGGCTCCCTCCTTGTGAGCAGTTATTGACTCTGGGCTATTGAATTCAGGGCTCTGGAGGTTGCTCGGTGGAAAAAGCCTTCAGTTGCTGCTTGGCAGCTCTGTCACTGCAAGGTCACAGAAAGGGCACTTCAGTCTCCAAACCCAATTAGGGCCTTATTCAGCACCTTTTCAATCGCAGGGGAATATCCCACTGAGCAGGGTGACTCCCAGGCCAGGCTTTTGCACCCAGCCCCCTCATTGAGGCAGCCAACAAATGTGTCCTTTTTTGTCACTTGAGCCATCAGAAATACCCTTTGCTGTCATGAAACGGCTAAGCAGTTAGTGAAGAAAGGTTAAGAGCCCAGTACAGGCTTATAAGCTCACCACAGCTTTTTTGGACTAGTGCCTTGTACATGTATGTCTATGTCCCTCCCTTTACTCATATCTAGAGCTGTCTCATTCCTCAGATCAAATCATTTGACTCTTATGAACAGCTGTAACTTGCAAGTTGAATAATGTCCAACTGCTGAAAACATTAATGAAAACCATAAAACTCTCTTTTACCAGGTATCAACAATATTGCTTTAATTCCTCCCGCTCTGAAGAGTGTGTATGTGTGCTGGGTCGTGCTTTTCATCCCAGGTGGCTGCCAATTCTGGTGAAAATAAGTAGAGCTGTGAAAGGTTGACCCACTCACCTCTGAATTGCTTTTTATATGATGTGAGTCCCTCAGGGCCCAATTCTACCCATAGAAGTGAGAAAGACAGCTATCAAAATATACAGGAAGTGTGTCAATATGCACAAAGAAAAAGGTGAACCCCAGACTGGTCTGAGTGGTCAGTCTTTAAAACATGGATTTCCTGTGAAAAGCAAAGAATAATTAGAAAATTAGCCTGATGTGCTAGCAGTTATGTCAATGTGTGGTTTTATGTTAGCTCTTTCAGGCAAGCAAAAGATCAGAAAATTGCTTTTTACTCAAACTAGTGTGTAAAATTTAGTTAGTGTCTGATCAGCTCCTTTGATCAGTCTAGTCTAGACTGTTGCCTGAGTATGTACTCTGTACTAAACCCACAGACCCCTTAAGCAGAGGCTTACTCAAGTGAATCAAATAACATATTAAAAAGTTATATAAAATGTTCACCGTCTGAGTAAATTAATCTGGTTCAAAGCTGAATAACTTAGGAACAGCAAAAATAAAAGCAGAAGTGTTGTTGCAGAGGAGAGGTGGTAGAGTTCTTAATTCATAATTAAATTACTGTCTCAGAAACACAAAAGAAAAATTTTCAGCAAACTTTTATTATTTTTAATAAGATAGTAATTTTTTAAAGCCTGTAATCAGAGTCCCTAAAGGAGGAAAAAAATCTGTCAAAAATTATGCACAAATTTTTTTAGGAAAAAAAATTTCCTAAAATGTCTGTCTCAAGTACACAATATTGGTTCTAATTTAGTGCCAATGGGAGCCTTCCGTATGTAGGCTGCACTCTTGCCACCTCTAATTTCTATACAGGATTATTTGCAAGGAAATGCTATAAGTCCAAGAACAGTAAATTTTTCAAAGCTAAGCAGTTTTCCCCTCATTGCCAGAGGTCTTCAGACATCTGGCATTGTCGTACCATCCTGAAGCTGTCTGCTCTTTGCCACATGAATCTCAGAAACGTGAACAGTTCATATACTCACAATTAATGCAGCTGCTGCCTTTCACATACTAGTAACAGTAGATGACAATTTGGAGACAATTTTAGTCCAATGACCAATCCAAAAGACTTGGAAATCTGTCCAATGCCACTAATTTTAGAAATTCAGGCATGTACCTGAGTTGATTTTCTCAAGATACCTGTGTTTTGAATTTTGAAGTGTAAGTCTTCAGTCTTTGTGTGCCTACTATATTTGCTGGTTGCATTGCAGTGCCATCAGAACACCTGGCATAGAGGCAATGACAGCAAATTGATGAAATTATCAGGGGAAGTAAGCTAGCTCATAAATAGGACATCAGTGGGGTGAAAATATCACAGAAATGGGACCATTTTAATCATAGAGAAACTGATCCAAGTGGCAAATACTTTATTTAGCTACACCAAATTCTGTCTAAATTCAAGAGGAGAGCTGGTACACTGCTGTTATCCAAACACTGAATTAATCTACTGATGGCTGAGAAACAGTTCCACAACAGGAACATTAAAGTCTTTGGAATGATACATAGCTTATCAAAAGTGCCGGGCATTGCTCTACTTACAGAGAGATAAGTAATGGAAAGATAAAGAAACACAGTTCCATGAGTGAATACATGAATGTAGAATGCAGTAAAAATATTGGGTAAACTCTTCCCTCCTGTGACTTGCCTTCCAGCCAGTGGCATTATACCAGGGAAAAATTGGACCATATTTTGTGTGCATCAAATCAAATTGTTAAGAGACAACAGGCAGGTATTTGAGAAAATGTTCTCTCTGCCATTTGCAGAATTGTATGAAATCTTCTGGCTAATCTACAGTCATTCCATTACCTGCCATCTTTCAGCAGGTAACTAGTTAAATTTGTGTTAAATAGGATTTGCTTTGCTATTTCCATTTACTGTTGGAGTAGAAATGTTCTGACATGACATATGACCAACTAATAATTGGAAAGTGCTTGGATGAGTCATTTGAAGGCAGTAGTTTAGACAGCATCAGCCACAACTCATACTAAAACCTGTAAGAAGAGTTTTAATAAATAAAATAATAAAAAACCCTACAATCAGTGATTCTGCAGCATCTCCTCTGGGTGTCTGCATTTCACTTAATAAAGATGCCCTGCAGACATCAATTGAAATAACTCTTGCCTTTGTTGCTTGGATGTTTTTGTGAGCTCTAAAATGAACTTGGCTTGTACGAGTATACTTTGTTACCCAGCCTAAAGGATAGGATGCAGGGCAGGAATTACCCTGTTCTGCTGTCAACCTCAGTAGAAAAGAAATGGCTTTGACTATGATTCTGAAGAGAATAAGAGTGTGACTGTACCCCATGGTTTTCTGTGGGTTTTTTGCTTTTTTTTTCTTCCTGTGGTGATGATGTTTTATTACTTTTACAGAGCTATAATAATCCGAAATGGTGAAGTCATTCCAATGTCTTCAGAATTCACTCCAGAGACTGAACGCCAGCGACTTCAATATCTGGTAAGAGACCTGAGGACCAAATCAGGTGCTGCTGATGACAAGCATTGCCCAGTAATGTGAAAGGCTCAGAGAAATGCTGCTGAGTTACTGTGGCTCAGTGAAGGATGACATGTCCAGTGAACACCAGTGACTGATCATGTATGTCTTTAAGCCATCAGCAAATGTGGAGAAAATCCTGGTGGTGCAAATGTCAATAAAAGGAGTATTACCTCTTCAGCAAAGGCCATTGATTAGCATGGCTGTGCTTGTGTATATTGTATGGCTCCAGACCCTTCAGCAGTGCACTGGTGTTGGATTTTGAAAGCTCAGTCATAGAGCTAATGAGCCACAGATGTATTTAATCCATCCCAGTGCTTTCTGTGTGACAGTATAAAATACCACAGGCCGCTCTTTGTATGTGAATGATATTGCAGAGTTTGATTAATTTACTCTAACAGTATGCCGTATCACAGTATAACAGTATCTCCATCAGGAGAAAGATATCCAACTTGGAGGTGGTCTCAATGAACATTAGTAGCTGCAGGATAGGATGGGTGATCAAAGATTAGTTTTATTTACTGTAGCAGCACCCATAAAGCTGGGACAGGGTGACTAGCTGGAGACACATAGCATGCTTTATAGACCAAGCTGTGTTGGCTGATAAGCTGCCTGAGTAATATAAGTCAAAATGTATGGTGTTATTTTTCATACAAACTATCCTGTTACTTTTTAAGGTTTTAATCAATGGACAGATCAGTTGGTTGAAGTCGATTAGTTGCTTGTCAAAATGTCATTCCTAACATGGCTGAGAGATTTCCTTTGTGCTTCTTCTGTTCTGCTTTTTCCTTTTAGAAATTTAAGCTTCAGCCAAGGCAGGCTCACTCTTAGCCTTGCCTGACTCAAGATGGGCAGGCCAAGGTTAGTGATGTTCCCAGGTCTTAAGTTGTCTTTTATTTTCAACGTAGACCAAGCACTGTGATTTGAAACTAGACAAAATGCCAGTGTTTGAAAGGTTTTAATGAAAAAATTGTGTTTCCTCAATTGTCACATTTAATTTTTTTTCAGTCAGATTCATTGGCTTGAAGTTGAAAATTTCAGAGAAAATACTGCTTTGGGACTATTTATATTCAGAGAATCAAATGGAAAAGAGGCCTAATAAATATTTACGGTTCAGTTACATTTAAAATAATTTGTTTGCCTCTAAAATAAAAGATATCTTTAGCATCTAGGGAGTCTGCTACTTCTGTAGGAAATATGAGATAAAACATTGCCTACAAGTTTTGTTTTTCTTTTTTGATGTCCTTTCTGGCTTAAATCTGAAACCAGTAGCTGATCAGAAAAGCATTTCTGCTGTTTCCTGTGGAAAATTCCTTTACCTTTGTTTGTCTGTTTTAATTCTGTATGTAACAAATATGCCAGGTCTATGGCTATCATGTTCAAAGAGAATATATGCAAGACAGCAAGAGCGTGAAACAAAATTACAGATAATTTCAAACACAACATTCCCTAAGTAAGATTTTTATTCTTGTGTTTAAAAAACAAAAAGTTGACCCCAAATTTCTTGCAAGGTTGGCATAAGCATTACACTCCAAAGTTTTCATCTGTCTTTCTAATTAGATCCCAAATAATTCCTCACTTATCCGTCCTCATGTTCTCATCTGTTGTTCTGTCTGAAAGTTATTTACATGGAGTCTATTTTCTTATTTGCAGTTAAAGCTGAGTTTTTGTTTCAAATATGTTGCACTGCTCTTCCTGCACAAAAGGAAGAAAATCCCTTAATCAGTTTAGCATTAATATTTTACTTGGTAAATGCAGAGATACTGTTCACTATGAGGAAGTTACTGTAGAAGCAAAGGGAGGGTATGGATTTACAGCCTGCAGGCTGTTGCCTGTGCAGCAGGAGCTTCCCTCTGCCTTTAGTGCCTGTTGATTGCTTCAGTCACACAGGATATTCTTTTAGGCTTTATTTTCTGAGCCTTAATTTCTGTGTGGAAAGAAATCCATGGGATAGTGAGTAGTTCAGGTCATGTGAGTATCTTTATATGAAGTCCTCCAATCTTAGACAAAACTGTGCTTCAGCTAATACTGATTGAGTAACTGAGAGAGAAGGGAAGCAAATGTGTTCCCTGTCCTGGAAGGTTTATTGCCATGCCTCCAAGAACGGCCTTGGCAGTAGGCCTCTGGCATGGAAACCTGAAAAGAGCAAGTTGGCTATCCAGTCGCTCTGACTTCAGAGCAGCTCTGAACCTGGTCATCACTCCATAGGAGGGCAGTGGCGGGGCAGCATCCAGCTGCAGACTGCAGGCAGGCTATATGGCAGAGACAGACTTCTGTGTCAGGCAACTTGTGAGAATATTGCAGGAGGCAGTCAATCCTTCAGTCAGAGAGCACTTCTTAAGATGTAATATGTGAAAGCTTTGCACCAGTATTCCCTTGGTCCTTTGGCCTTCTGTAGCAGTTCAGTGGACCATGTTGCTTCCCTTCCACTAGTGAGCATTTGAAAGCCTCCTTTTCTTCTGAATTTCTGTGTCTCTCTTGTTTTTAGCACTGTAGCAGGAGTATTTACTGGGAAATGCTCTGGTACATTCAGCAGTTGTGCAGGCAGTGACAGCCAGAAGCAGTTTTTCTTTCATCTTTTGAGGAGACTATTAATTTCAATCATGATAGTCTAAATTGCAACAGTAAATAGGATATTTTTTTACTTATTGGAAAAATGTGTTTCAAATGAATGGGAATTGGGCATACTGCAGATGGGTGTATTTATATTACTTGCTGTACTTTCAAGATGTCATGTGGTCAATGTGGTATTTGTAGCATCTTCATGTGTGCAGCCAAACAGCTGCTCAAAAGTTCACCAGAAATGATGCACCACTGCTACCAGTGCAGGTGTCACTGCTAGTAGAGGCTGTGTAGCCACCAGTGGCAGTGACCATGGGTACTCTTTGTGTTTACCACCATTCAAGCAAAGGTTCAAGAGCCCACATAGTCATGGGCTCAAAGGGGATATATTCATATTTTGTTGCTCAGGTGAGGATAAAAGTGACACTAACTCACTCACCTGCTGAAGGATGCCTGCAGAACCTGAGCCTGAAGAGAAGATGCACCTAGATCTCCTAAATGTCCAGTCAGCACTTTGATTACAAGACAGTCAAGATGTAATTCTCTTACAGTTTTTGGCTCCCTGTAGCGCCCAGAATAGGATTACTCCAGCCATCTGACGCAGTGGATGATGCTGTGGTAAAAGAGACCTGTGGTTCCATGAAAGGAGTCCTAGCCTTTCACAAGATGAGAGACCAGTCAAGAGATTGATTTGGCTTCTAGTCTTCTCCTTCGTTTTACCACCACATTCTTTAATTTTAATCTCCCTTTGGTTTAAATGTGTCCATATGACAATGGCTGAGTCATTTGCAGACCTTATGGGTGTGTTGGGTTGTGCATGCTGTTGTGAGTAGTAGTCCCATATAGTAGAATATTCTTTTGGAGAAAAGGGCACAATATGATAAAAGTATAAACTTGTAAGATATAGTTGGTGTAGGGGAAAGCAGCAAATCTGAGAATAGCACAGATTGCAGTGAAAGCACTAGTGTCAGTGACTATCCAGTGCAGTGCCTAATGAAGGAGCTGGAAAAGGCAGTGCAGACCTTACTGAGGTACAGATAAGATACATGCAGTGTTTCCTGCCACCTAATTAACTGCCATGCTAGTATGTAAGTCTAGGTTTATCATAATTTCATGTTTGCTTTTCTAATCACCAGGAAACACAGCAGGAAGTAAATGCCCTTTTTAAACAACCGTGACTAACATTTCTTTGACTGAACTCCATTTTAAACAACTGATTTTGAATGCAATGCATCCAGCCACAAAATACACCATAAAATGGCCAAGTGCCAAAAACACACAAGGCATACTATGCCAGATTTATGCCCAAAAGCTCTAACAGCTTCTGAAAGAGAAAATATGAAAAATGTTCCAGTTCCATAACACAGAATAACAGTGTTGTCTGAAAATACCTTGTAAGGATATAGGAAGTGTTTGATAACCACGCTGTTTGTTAAATGTCAGGTTCTCTTGAATGGTGTTTCTGATCTGAGGTTCTTGCAAATCAAGACTAAACAAATTTGAAAATGGAAAATACATTGAAAATGTCATCACAGGTAAAATTCTGGTAGTCAGTTTGCTTACCTTTTTTTATTTGTTTGTTTGTTTGATCACTTGAGGGGATTTCATGCTTGTATATAGAAAGATCTGCAGATTTTTGAACTGTTGCTTTTTATTTATTTTCTGGTTCTGCTGCTCAGCATGGTTTTGTTGAGGTGGAGAGAAGACTCAAGCCTTGTACATGGAGAACAGTTCTCAACAAACCCAACTGGAAGTTGCAGATGAATTCTACAGTAGAACATTCTTCTTTGTGTAGAATTACCAGTGAAGCATCAAAAATAACTGTTTAAAAAAATAGTAAAAAATACGGAAAATTAAAATATAAAGCAAAGCACAGTGAAAATCCCCATTTCTTCACATAAAAATTTGGATCACAGACACCAGACACTTCCAAATTGCTCTTTTCCCTCTGTTTCACTGACGCCAAAAATATTAGAATCAAGTTAAGATCACTGGATTGTAAATCAAGTGTTGAGGCTTGGCTGTGGAAGAGAAGTCTTATTTGAACATTAGCAGTCCACTGGTAACTGTGCCAGCTTTATTAATCTTATTTCAGTTATGACCTCAGACTTTCCATCTGAGTAAATCTTTATGCAGTGCATTCTCTCCTGATTGCTTTACCTTTTCAATAAAGGAAATTCTTGTTTTTAAGTGAAAATACTAAAAGCCTGTAATGTTTTTCTTCTGGACCTCTTATTCAGACTAGTAGTCTCACAGCCTGAAGGTTAGATAACTTCATTTTGATATCAGGTATGATGTTTTTTTTTCTTTATGTATGACCTTGTTTTGTAGGTAGGTGACAGTATTTAGCTGATAGTGGTTTGTAATGTTTTAATCAAGATAGGCTGTGCATTTTTAAAAGTGGTCTGAATTGCACTTACAATAAGGACTGACTTCATTGTTTACGATATCATAGGCTAGAAAAAATTTTAAAAATACTAAAACCAATCCAGCTCTTTGTTATCATACAAAGAACAAATATCATTCATATGTTGTGATACATTAAATCATTAGGAATTCTCCATCTTTTTTGCAACTGGAATGAAAATAAATAAAATAAAAAGTTTACATGCACTTTTAAATGAAGAAGTTCCAGAGTTCTGGAAGTATGAAAAGCCTCATGTGGACAGAATACTGCTGAACTTCTCAAAAGTCACTAGTGCTTCTCAACCATTTCTGTAATGAGAAGAAGGGATCCAATTAGAGGGCAACGATATTTGGGTGGAGAAGGGGACCTTGGTTGACTGTAGACTGAAGGAAAAAACATGTTATTCCCTTAACTGTAACCAGAAAGAATTTGATGGAGTTCCTGTTCCAGGAAGAGATCACGATGTGAAGATCATTTGTGCACTTGAAAGCCACCTCTTGAAAGCAGAATCCAATCTTGTTGGCTACACACAGCAACCTTCCTCAGTCCTGTTCCAACCAAGCTTGAGGTGTTTTCTGGAAGGATGTCTGGTGATGGGAACAGGGACAAGCTGATAGGAAGTTAGCATGGTGATGTGCTGAGCCTGATAGAGCTGCTATTAAATTGAGTGGGAGCAAGCTCAACTCTTAAATGCAGGAAATATTTTATTGTGAACTATCTGCATGACAGATGCCAGGCAGATTAATAAGGGCTTCCAGTGCTTCCTCCTGCTTACCTTTGATGAGCACTAGATTTATGACATAAACACAAACTAAACCCCAGCTCATTTCATCTCCCTTGATGGCAGCTGCTGCTGAAGATAAGACAGACTTTATTGCCTTAACTGGCTGGATAAGGAAAAAAAGTTATCTGCGAAAAGGTTAAGAAATGCAACTTTTTTTCAGTTCCCTACCAATTTGACTGTGTCTTTCATAAGAGCTTGCTTACAGTGTAGTTTTTCAGGGGAAGAGAGAAAGGTTTGTTTATTTGAGTACTAAAGAAAAAGGATTGAGATTTATTTCAGAAGGAAGAAATAGAATATGTTTAGGATTAACCTATCATGTCAAGTGATCTGTGTATAAATTCAATCCAAAAATTTACACAGTGGATGAAGAGCCTGGCGATGCTCTCAACTGTGGCCAGCTTTGGAGAACATCAGCCAGAGGCACAACTCTGGCAAAGAGGCCTCCCAGGATCTGCAGAGCAATGCACCAGAAAGGACATGAGGAGTGTTTGAACATTAAAACCATCAAAGACCTTAGTTGCAGTTGTGACGCAAAACTGTTGCTGCTTTTCTAAAAGTCTGTTTTGCATGAAGGATGTAGTTTTTCAAAAACAAGAAAATAAATTGCTCTGTAGCTTGTGTTCATTTGCAGTGTTGTGTGATGGGGTGCATTTTTCTCGAGGTGGTTACAATTAAAGTGTGGTAGCAATGTTAGGTTTTCTGTGTTGTTGGCATAGCTGAACAGGGAGTCAAAAAGCTGGAGCTTCACTGCACACTCACCCCTCCAAGTCTGTCCATGGCTTTGTATTTGATCATTCTTCTCTCTCTTGCTGACTTACAAAAGGGCATGTGTTCAGTTTTACATAGCTCTGCAAACTCCTTCAGGGTTAATGGATGAAGTGTAATTTAGAGATCCCAAATCTTGAGGAGCTGGGAGAAGAAATGAAGGATTTTGAGGGCAAGAGGACTGCTCCCTATAAGGCTTCTGCTGGATATCAGGCAGGGGCAGAAATGGTGTATGTGCATTGTTTGTTGAAATGGAGCACATCATCTTCCTTATTTAAAAAGAAAGGTTAGAGGAGTGGGTGGAATTTGTGTGGGAAGGGACCAAGAAGGGATGGTAATACTACCTCATTAAAAATAGATGATGTCTTGTTTTATGTGGTATCTGTGGTTTGATTTCTGCCCGCAGGCTTACATGCAGCCCCATTTGCTGGGAAATGAATTTACACATTTAGAGTTTCCACGGAGGGTGCAGCGCAAGGAAGTTGGAAAGAGGATGCTGTACCGTGACTTCAACATGACTGGCTGGTAAGAATGTGTCCTTCTCAGCAGGTCAGCCTTCTCCCCTAGCCAATACTTGCTTTGTACCTATGTTTGATTAAACTAGGTACATCAAACAAGGAGATGTAGCCCTGCGTACTAAAAGAAAAGGCACTTCCTTCTTCCAGGTGTATCTTTCTTCTAGAAGATAATGTTTTAAATAAGTCGACCTCCCTCCAGAGAGTTCATTTTAACGTGTGAGTACTTAAAGCGGAAAAAAAAAAAAAATATAATGGCAAAGATGTGCCAGGTGATCTTTCTGAAAGCGAAACAATTTTTCTGTCTTGGAAGTAGCTTTTTATAAATTCTGGATCAGAGGGTGAGACATTTGTCTTTTAAACCAAGACATTGGGCCATCATGCTTTCACATGCCGAGGAAAGCTTGCAGAAGTGAAGAGCTGCCTTCCCTACTCTACTGCAGCTGGCCCTTAGTTAGGATATCCCTTGAGGAATTGTTTTACACATGGGCCTATCTGAACACAACCAGCCTAAAATGAAAAGGCTTGAATGAACAGCATGAATTAAAGAAGTGAAGACAAAAAGACTGATGTGGATTTTTTTGTTTCTGGTTAACTGTCTTCATTGTTTTTTGTTGGTTCAATAGGCTCCTTGGAGAAATCCTAATCTTTGCTGTTTTGAGTTCTGTGCATGACCTATAAAGGCAAAAACCCAATATATGCAAATGGTCTTCATTTCCATGACATTTATGTTTTAGTGTCTGTATTAAACGTCTTTTCAGGAAGAAAAAGAACAGAGGGGTTAAAAAGAAAGCCTATTTTAGGTTTGGAAGCCTGGATGCTCACATACAACTACAGCTCTACATAATTTTTGCTTTGTTCTATGCTTTATGGACCATAAATATAATGATGTTTTAATGGCAGAATAATGATCTAAGTTTAAAATAATCTGAAGTGTTTGTGTAGAACATGTAAATCTGAGAATAACCGTCATTGTCTGCCATCTTGAACAGCTGCTAGTAGAATATGCAGTTTCACCCTGAGAATGATGACTTCACATTTTAAAAAGGCTACAGGCATGAGCAAAAGAATAGGAACAGAATGAGAATACTGGATCAACTGAGGACTTAGACAGCAAAACATTTGGAAGATCATGAGACACTCTCCCAATTTCTGCAGAAGGAGGGGTTTTTTGTTGAACTCCCAGATGTCTCTGGAGGCACCAGTAAAGAATGGTTTCATGTAGACTTCCAAAAGCACTTTTTCAAGATGTGAAAAATCATCATGCCTGTTGGGAGGAAAAACATGTGGGGGAGAGCTACAGAAGTATCATAGGCCAGGAACTTCCTGAGAGGAGGGCAAGAACAGATTTCTGTCATCGTGGCTGGAAGGCAGAGAGGGTTTCTTCAGGTTCATGGGAGTTGTTTTGCATTTCCCTGGTTGGTTAGTGGTCTGGAAAGGAAATGAGATTGGAATGGTTGAAGTTGCAGCATTGGCAGGTGACACCACAGCTCTTTTCCTATTAAACAAGAATGACCATGAGGTACTGCAAAGAACTAAGTGATTAACACAAATGGGCGTCACTGAGATCAAATTTGGTATTAATAAATGAACAAAGTAAAGCATGAAGAGGAAAAAATTTCAATTTATGCACATTGGAGGTTCCAAATGAAATGTAAAAAAACTCAGTGGAAGTTTTGCTTACTACAGTATTTTTTTCCAGTCCAAATCACCAACAGAATGTTGAGAATTGTATGGCAATGGACAGTTTAAAAGTTAAGAGATAATTCTGTATATTAGTTTCTACCTCACTTGTGAACGTGTGCATAGCACTTTACCTTATCCAAAATGGTTATTACATAGTTAATACTATTTGGCATTAGAAAAAGGAACAAAAGCTCTAAATGTAGAATAATGAGTAAGGTAGAAGTCAAACTGGCAGATTTGATTCAATGTGTTGCTTTTCAGTACTGACTTGTGAACTCTATTAGCTCTAGGGTATAGCAGGGAGGAGAAGACAGTTATTTTCCAGTTGATTTTTCTGAATTTCCTGAAGTCTAGGACACACGTTGATCCAGTTAGAGATTCTAATATGGTCAATGCAAAAATTGTCACCAGTTCAGTACAAATATGCTTAGCCGTAAGCAGTTATTCTGCAATAAATGCTTGAACTGTGACTTGAAAATTCAAGTCTGAATTCATCACAGTATTGTCCCAGAAAAAGGTGGTCTGTGCCAAGCAGAAGCATGTGGAGACTGTGATGAGGCTACCTCTCCCTGTTGTTCCTTTTGACTTCTGGATGGAAGTGAAAAATGGGGCCTACATTTTTGTCCTAATAAAAGAATTGGAATCTTTCAGCTGCTCCATATTGCACAAGTAGTGCATCAGTTACCTCTTTATTTGGTTGCCTCGGGACAATAAAATGCCGAGGAAATTGCTCTATTGCCATACATTTGTGTAAAACAGAGCCCTTCTAAATAATGATCTATTTCTTTCTGCAAGGTTTGGCCCAAGGTGTTTGTTATCCATTGAATTGTGTGCAGTGATCCCCTAGGTAGAGGAGAAGCAATCCGTTTCTGTTTATCTAAAAGTCTGGGTCAATTTTAATGGTTGTGATTGTGGACAAGACATTAGATTTCCAGTTTGGTGGGCCCTCAGAGGTGACACGTTGAGGTGGCAGAGGTTTCTTAGCGGCTGTTTTCCACTTCAACGGTTTTGCTTCTATTTTCTTCCCTTTCTTATTCCTGGATTCAACAGATGCATCAGGACACTGTGGCTGAGGACATGTCTGTTTTGCATTTGTTTCTAAGGATACTATCTATCATGGAGAATAAATTAGCATATATATTCCTTTTCTAGAAAATGTCAGATGGCGCTTTGGCCAGCCAGAGCTTGATACACTAAAATGCTGCTGAACTTTTATCACATACAATGCAGATGATCAATTGTCTGAATTGTTTTTTGGTCACTAACTTCACTGTTTGTTGACAGTTATACATACATGTAGAGAGGTGCAGGTGATACTAGGAAGAAACAGCTACTCTTAGACTTAATTACTTAATCCTTTAGTGAGAGAATGTAGAACACTTTCTGCTTTGATGTTTCCTCAGGAAAATAAACTGTTTTATTTTACAATTCAATATACTTTTTGTGTTTTCTATTAGAAGCTGTATATGACTTTTTTTTCTTAGTTTTTATCCTTCTTTGCTCTGGAGCTTTTCAGATTCTCAACAATGCCTTGGCTTGCCCAGCTTGTTTGGATTACAAAAGATTATTGTCTTTGGGTCTGTTATAATGTATTTGGCCCTTTATTTTTTCTTTCTGCTTTTTCTTTTTCTTTTTTTTTTTTTTCATGTGAAGTTTCCACACTGGCTTTGTCTCCACAGCCCACAGTGGTAGTACAGCTGCCAAGTTTCCCCACAGCATTAGGACAACCACTGATCCAGCAATGTGTACCGCATCACTAGTCCAGGCTGCCTGTAACTGCTTTGAGACCATCCTTTCCCTTCTTGCTCCAGCTTGCTCCCTTTCTCCTTTTTTTTCAGTGGCAATTGCAGTGAGAAATCATTCTCTATTAAATATATGTAAAATAAATCCCACACTGCTGGGAGCTGACCATGAACTGCCCTTCCTGCACCCTTGCCCCATGTGTGTTGTGATTGAACAATGATTGCAAAAGGTGTAGCGTAGCTGGCAAGGCATCTTAAGAGCGGTGTGTCCTGCTGAACAAGGTTTTGAGCTGTCTTGAGCTATAATTTGCTGGCAGATATCTGTGTTACTGACAGTCTTTCACAGCTGGGTCTCTGGGCTGGAGTTTTCAAGCCCATGCCTTGCAGAGGGTAGACTTATATTGGAGAGAGGTGTCCTGGTGGTTTTGACAAGTCCTGGCAACAAAAGCATCAGAAAAGACTCAGAGGCCATGTAAGCAGAATGGTCAGTGCTAAAAAAGGGGAGTGAGTAAACTGAAGTGGAAATATGAGGGGGAAAACAGCAGGCCTGGCGATAGCTGCTCCTTTAAAGGACTGCACGTAATTAATGTTCCCTGTCTCTGGCTTTTATTTAAAGTTAAGACATAGTTGGTTAGACTTCCTTCATGTTTACATCCAGTGTGAACAATTTTGAAATACTTTGCTTTGACTGTATCCTAGAACCTTCCCAGACTTGGATTCCTGACTGCCTATATCCTTCACTATGGCTCCTTCCAGAGTTCCCCTCTCAACCTTCTGTGGGGCTGGAGGAGCTGTACTGCACTGTGCTTAACCGAAGGCATCCAGAAGGCGCTACCAGTTGGCATCAACTTTGGTGGTTTCAAAATTAATTCTTTGCTTCTCCTTGGAACAAAAACAGTGGCTTTTAAATTGCTTGCATTGGAGTTCTTTAAAGGCTTGTTTCCAGATCACAACTTCAACTTTTTGACTTTATATTAGCATGGCAAAAGAGACCTAGATAATAAGTACAATTTTTGACCTATTTGTTAGTTGCTTTCCTTGCCCTCCAGGAGAGGCAGAGCTGAGCTGCACCCCATCAGAACTGGTTTGAGGCCATGTAGTGCCCACCACATACCATGGGCAGAAGCCCAAGGCGGCTGTGGGGAAATTGGGCACTGTCTCTGAGTGCGCCAACTTTGCAGCAGCAGTGGAGCCCTTGCCAGCACCGTGTCCATGTGTCTGGTGAGGGGGTGCTGTGGCACATGGGGTCAGCCCCCGAGGGTCAGCCCGTGCAGGGAATCGCCTGCCCGCGTGATTTATTCCAAAGCAGGGAGGCTGATGCCCTGAGGCAAGCACTAAGCAAAACCCATTTTATTCTAGAGTCAATATTGTCCACTGCCTGGAAAGCTGCCAGCCTGCTCTGCGCTCGCCCTTTTCTTTCCAACAGGGAATGTCTTTCAGCTTCTAAGCATCTGATTAAAAAAGCAACTTCACTTTTCAAGCCATTTTATTTTGTTTGGGATGGATGCCTTTTGCTTTCATTGTGCAGCTCGCCTTGCCGTCTGCGGTTCAGACTCCAGCTCACAAAAACCAGGCTCTCATT